GGTGGTGGAGGAGAGGATGAGAGGGAGACAGAGTGCCCATCCTCATCTTGTCCTCCTCCGAGAGATTGTTCAAATCTCTGATCCATCTCTCTCTTCCTTCCTCAAAAAACTTCCATTTTTTTATCGCCGGCTATTTCTAGGGTTTTGGGAGATGAATCGGGGGTAATTGTTCATTTTAGACAATAAGTAATTTGTCGTTTTAAAAATTAGTGCTTTTAAGGAGTTGGGGTCAATTTTGGGGCCTGGGGGATGATATTTTTGGGGATTTTTTACAAATTTGTCGTGTTCCCGTACCCTATTTTTTACAAATTTGTTGTCTCGTATCCGCACCCGTGTCCGTACCCGTACCCATACCTATGCAACCTTGACATTGGTCGACCTTCCAGAGGTCGTTTTCAACCGACTGCAGCTATGCATGTATGTGCATGTTTACGTCGTTTGCTCACAAAAATACACTGAATCGATCTCAAATCGATTTCTAGCATACTCAACCATTCATAAATGACATTTATCACGATATAAATTATTTATTATTATTTATCATAATATATTCAAATTTACGGGGTTTTATAACATGTATCTACCCATGCCGCACGCACATGAAGAAAAATGGCCTGGAGATGGCATCTCATTTTGCTAAATAAACTACTAAGAGTGAAGCTCACCCTACTAGTCATATAAATTGGGTGGGTCTCACAACCCTCTCATATCTTAGCAGCTCATTTCAACAAAATAAGCCTCTGGATCATAATCATTAATTTCATATATGTATATGTGTACGGGTGTGGGTATGTGCATCCTTGCACTCGTGTGTGTGCATGTACATTTGTTTGTCCTCGTGTGTGCACGCGTATGTGGGTTTGTGCATGCGTGTGTAGCTTGGTGTTGTATTGGCGTGTGCATGTGTGTGTGTGGGCGTGTGTGTGGGTTTTCACACGTGCGTTTATGGATGTGTGCATGTGTGTGTATGTGTAGTGTGTGCGCCTACATGCATGCGTGCGTGTGTGTGTGTATGTGCATGTGTGGCCCTGTGGATAGTTCATTTTCTAAATGAGTTACTAAGTGGTGATGCTCACCCTAATTGTTTCATCTTATATGTGGGTTTAATCATTGCTATCTCTTGATAGTTCATAATTTCATTTTGATAAATTTTCTATCAAGAAATGGAGAATTGTGTAGACCTGAACATTTGGTTTGACCATTAGGATGGGTGTTGTCTCTTGTTCATCTTTTGCTAAAAAAATTTAGCAAAATGAGCTGTCAACTCATATTTGTTGTTTTTCCATATATGCGCACGAATTTTCTGTTGTTTTAAAATTATGAGGTACGCTTTCTTTGGCAACAGCCTCAAACTGATGGCAAGTAGTATTCTGCTGCAGAACTTATCACAGTTGGCAACCAAGAATTATGATGTCCTCCTGCAAAGCGGAAAGAATTCAAAGTGCTCATCTCCATCACAAGATCCTCCACCGTAGATACAATGGGGATTTTTTTTTTTTCCTTATGCATAAACTACATGGGCCTAGCTGTACTTCTTCACATGGCCAGCCCACAATTGTACATAAACCATTTTTTAGTAGCAAAAACTGTAGGTTGTTCTGTATAGTCCACAGCAGTTTAAGAGGCAGAAGTGAAGAAAATGCAGAGATATTGTAAGCGGCATGGATTCAAAGTTGCATGCTTTCTAGCCACATTGTGGATCAGATAGGAATGATGCTTCTGGGTCATGATGCCACTACCAATATTTCAGGAAGAATACAATCCTAGACAGGATGTTTCTTTGTCTTAAGGAAGAGGAAAGGATCAGAAGGAAATCTGAGAAAAGTGTATTTGCAAATACACTGCTAGATTTTTTCGGCTTTGTTAATAATGAAAGATGAGAGCTGCAGTTTATTAGCTCCATCTCTCTTTTGTTTTGCTTGTTTTTTTTTTTTTTACCTCCTTTTTGTCTATTATATTTGCTGTTTGTACACTGTATCTAATAGGTTAAAAGAAAGGCGATACACTGACTATAGGTTGGAAGAAAGAAAGAATGGCGTGAGAACTTTTGTTCATATATTGGCACTGTTTCTCTTTTATTTTTCTGTATATACTTTTTCATTACTTCTACTCAAATAATGAAAGTTGGCAGATGATATCAGCTCAAGCTCCCTGAGAAATAGGTAATACAATGGAATGCAGCCACTGATATGTTGAGCTCTACTCTCTTCTACAGTTCTACCCACAACTTGTCTTTGATGGATTTCTAGCATAAGATTGTAGCATTCAGTCTGTGATGATGTTCATCTGGCAAATGTTGGTAAACATCAAAATGCTTATTGGTCATTAAACTGGTTTGGGCAATCGAATTTCTTCTACAGTGAGGGATGTGCTATGTCTTCTGCACGCAGCTATAATTATTGTAGTTATAACTATAATTATACGGCTAAGTCACAGAAATTTCCCCCGACACTTGCATCATTGACACAAAATTCCCTAAAGCTCTAAAAGGTGACATTTTAAGCCTCTTTTTTAATTTGGTTCAATGATCACTAATTTTTGGATCTAATCATCCATTATCATGTGCATAAACCTTGGCAAAGTTTTATCCTTACTTTTGCTCAAATAAAGAAAGTTTACAGATGAGATCAGCTCATGGTCCTTGATAATAAAATAGAATACCGTTACTGATATGATGAGCTCACGATACTCTCTACTATCAACAATCCGGTCTTTAATGGATTTCCAGTACAAGAGAGCACCTTTCAGTCCAAGATGTTCTTCATGCAGATGTAGGTTAACATCAACATACTCGTTGGGAAATTAAACTGGTTTGGACAATCGGATATGATCTACTACAGTCAGACCTGATATGTTATCTACATGCAACTATAGTCATAATAGCTATGACTATAATTATGTGGCTACATATCACACCTCATTTTCAATTCTGATCAAATGATCATTAATTTTTGGGTATAATTACCCATTTTCAATATAACAATCACGGCACATAATTATCAAGTGCGAGATTTTTGTACATTACGGTAATTGGGATTGCCAATTGGCTCCTCATTTTGCTAAATAAGCTGTGAGATTAGAGGTGAAGCTCACTCTTCTGACACAACTAGTACGTGGGTTTTATCACTCTATTCTTAACATCTCATCTAACAAAAATGAGTTGTTAGTCTATTCACATTATTACCTTACATTAAACCAGGTAAAAAACATAAAAGAATCTCATTGAAGACGTGCCCCAAGCTGTCAATTTGATGCTCAAGTTTAAACTACAGCCGAAAACATTCAAGCTATGGGCACCATGAAAGAAAGGTAAAAAAGGGGGGTTAATCCATTTAACACGTCTGCATAAATGACTTGCCATATACAATGCTTCAAAGTTGAGCATATCAGGAACTATCAGGAAAATTCTGCAGTACGTTTTCCATTTTGTGGACCATTAATGCGAGTTTACAGATTTTCTTCATACGGGAACCGGCACTCCCTTGCTTGTCATGCTGTCAAGAATATCATTAAGCGCCTGGCACAGACCCACAATCTGCAATTATCAGGACAAAGAACCATGAGAAGTGGAAATTGGATTCCTAAAAGTGATGAGAAACGGTGCAATCATAACCTGTGGCACATTGTGTGTATGGACTTCAAAATAAATATACACTTTAAGCTTAGATAATTGATTTCATATGTCTCGCTCTTGATCCGACAGTTTGCATAAGATCAGCTTGAAAAGACACAAAAAGCAAGGATACAAATAGCTAAACAAGCAACATTGTAATTAACCAAAAAAAAAAGTAATTAACAAAAAAAATGTGTGATTAGCAAGGATACAAATAGGTAAAAAGAAAAATTGCTTTTGGACTGAGAAAAACTGGTTTCGATGTTTTAGACTACAAAGTACAATCATTCATAGCAAAGTTATACAAGCTCGATGTGTCATATTCTGAAATAGAACTGTTAATTAGGCAGCACGCTGAGAAAAAAGAAAAAAGAAAGGACTACTCCAAAAGAGAGTTACTTCAGAAAAAGATGGCAAATGCATGCAAAGTCAAAAATATTATTTTACTGCATATAATAGATTCCTACAAAATTGCAAACTAACTCACCTGCTGATCCCACTGCTGCAACTCTTCCGTATCATCCTCAAAATGTATGACAGCCTCAACCTGAAAGAGGTCGCACATTCTAAGAATCCGCAGATTATAGACACAACAACAATAATCAAGAAGCTTATTTAGTAAGTCTTACATTATTATTTTCTTTCACAATTAATCCATTGTCGTCAAGACTAGTTGTATAACTCTTATTAACTAAAACTATGTATAAATATGAGTTCACAATATGATAAACATTCTGCATTGATACCAAGTCGCACCCTCAAACTTCGTCCACAAAGAGTAGGGACCAATGTGATAGTTAATCAGACAATCATTCACATAAAAACAACTCGAGAATGATGATGACACTGTTCTTCACTTTGACCTTTATATTTACTA